GAATAGTAAAGTCCCCTTTACTGGCTCAAATAGCCGACCAATCAGCCTGTTACCATCCCTTAGTAAACATTAGAAAAAAATGGTGTTTGACCAGATACATTGCTATTTTACAGTAAACAAATTGACAACACACTTTCAGCACGCTTATAGGGAATGACATTCAACAAGTACAGCACTTACACAAATGACTGATGATTAGCTGAGAGAAATGTATTATAATAAAGCGCTGCTCTTCCTTCTTTAAAGCACTATAAACAAGGTAGGTCCTACAGGCCCTAGTTTTGTCACACATGGACTACTGTTCAGTCATGTGGTCAGGTGCCACAAAGAGGGTCTTAGGAAAATTTGCAATTGGCTCAGAACAGGGCATCACGGCTTGCCCTTGGATGTACACAGAGAGCTAACATTAATAATATGCATGTCAATCTCTCCTGGCTCAAAGTAGAGGAGAGATTGACTTCATCACTACTTGTATTTGTGAGAGGTATTGACATGTTGAAAGCACCGAGCTGTCTGTTTGAACTACTGGCACACAGCGCGGACACCCATGCATAACTCACAATACATGCCACCAGAGGTCTCTTCACAGTACCCAAGTCCAGAACAGACTATGGGAGGCGCACAGTACTACATAGAGCCATGACTACATGGAACTCTATTCCACATCAAGTAACTCATGCAAGCTGTAAAATTAGATTAAAAAACAGATACAAATGCACCTTATGGAACAGCAGGGACTGTGAAGAGACACAAACACAGACACAATCACATGCACGATAACATACGCACTATACACACACGTACACATGGATATTGTGTTGTAGATATGTGGTAGTAGAGTAGTGGCCTGAGGGAACACACTTCATGTGTTGTGAAATCTGTTGTGAAATCTGTTGTGAATGTATTGTAATGTTTTTAAAATGGAAGATCCATAATAAATACAAATACAAACGCTGGTGAGATGATTCATACCTGACACCCTGGTCTTTATCACTGACCTCTGACCTACAGGATATGATTATATGGATGACATCCTCCAAGTGGCAGTGCCTGTGTACAGTATGTATGCTATATATACAAAGTATGTGGACACCCCTTCAAATTAGTAGATTTGGCTATTTCAGCCACACCCGTTGCTGACAGGTGTATAAAATCGAGCACACAGCCATGCAATCTCCATAGACAAACATTGGAAGTAGAATGGCCTTACTGAAGAGCTCAGTGACTTTCAATGTGGTACCGTCATAGGTTGCCACCTTTCCAACAGGTCAGTTTGTCAAATTTCTGCCCTGCTAGAGCTGCTTAACTATAAGTGCTGTTATTGTGAAGTGGAGACGTCTAGGAGCAACAACGGCCGCGAAGTGGTAGGCCACACAAACTCACAGAACGGGACCACCGAGTGCTGAAGCGCGTAGCGTGTAAAAATCGTCTGTCCTCGGTTGCAACGTCCGCACAAGAACTGTTCGTCGGGAGCTTCATGAAATGGGTAAAGTTTGGTGGAGCAGGAATAATGGTCTGGGGCTGTTTTTCATGGTTCGGGCAAGGCTCCTTAGTTCCAGTGAAGGGAAATCTTAATGCTACGGCATACAATTACATTCCAGAGGATTCTGTGCTTCCAACTTTGTGGCAACAGTTTGGGGAAGGCCCTTTCCTGTTTCAGCATGACAATGCCCCCGTGCACAAAGCGGGGTACATACAGAAATGTTTTGTCAAGATCAGTGGGGAAGAACTTGACTGGCCTGCACAGAGCCCTGACCTCGACCCCATCGAACAACTTTGGGATGAATTGGAATGCCGACTGTGAGCCAGGCCTAATCGCCCAACATCAGTGCCCGAACTCACTAATGCTCTTATGGCTGAATGGAAGCAAGTCCCTGCAGCAATATTCCAACATCTGTTGGAAAGCCTTCCTAGAAGAGTGGAGGCTGTTATAGCAGCAAAGGGGGGACCAACTCCATATTAATGGCCATGATTTTGGAATTAGATGTTTGACGTTCAGGGGTCCACATACTTTTGGTCATGTAGTGTATGTGTGTGTATTTAGAAATGCACCTTTGTGAAAGTGTTTCTATGTGCCATGTGTGTATGGATGACATCCTCCCAGCATGCAGCATCATCCTTGGCCCAGTACAAGGCAGAGCCAATGTGTTTCCAAGCTGTTGTCATGCCCTGCACTGCAGCTGCACACAGCTGGAGACTTTTACTGTGACAGCTAGGGCCAGGGGGATGGAGAGAGGGAAGGAAGGAGAGAAGGGTTGAGTCCATGTCATGAAGGAAAGGGGGCTGAAGGGGTCCATGGTAGAAGGGTTGGAGGGTTGGAGGAGAGGGGAAGATAGGGTTTGGCCACAGGGTAGAGGGGGTAGGGTCCAAGCTTGGGAGGAGTGGGTATGGCAGGGGGTAGGGTGTAGAGGGAAGACATTATCGTGGAAGGCTTAGTAAGAGATTGAGAAGAGAGGGTTTGGGGTTCACAATTCAAAATATGATACAGACATTACAGTGTTGTAATTAGAACAGACATTTTACAAAGCAGAAACATGCTTTCTCCTCATCACTGTTCCCTAAGTGGAGAAATGCTTTCTGGGCCTGCTGCTGCCAGGGGAGCAGAGTTAGACAGCGGGTGATAAATGGGTCCTGTTAACCTCCCTGCCTGGTGTTAGCTTAACACTGTGTTCTACTGGGCTCTCACTGTTACAACGGGACTGATACAGACACCTCCTTTCCTGTTCTCCTTTCTACTGCCTCTCTCTCTCACCCTTAGTCTTTCTCTGTCTATCTCTTCACCTCTCTCTCACCTGTCTGTCTCCTGTCCTCCTGCAGCTGCTGGTTAATCTCCCTCTCTCTCCACTCTTCTCCCTCGCTCCTCCCCTCCATCTCTCCCCTGCCAGTTCTTGCTCCCAGGAGCTTAGGGGTTTTAGATCACAGTCAAGAACAAATTGGAACAGCAATGTGTAACATAATGTGTTCATCGTTCCCTGACTGGGGGGCAATGTCCAGCTCACCCCCTTTCCTTTCCTTTATCCCTCGCTCCTCTTCTCCATCTCTCCCTCGCTCCTCACATCTGCCCTGAGCCATCTGGAGAGCGTCAGGCTTTCAGGGGAGAGATGAGAGACCATCAGTCACCATCATATATACACTCACACAAACGCGCGCACACACACACACACACGATCAGTCAGCCCCAGACATCCCCCCCAGACGCTGCCCTGCTCTGGAACCCTGTAAGATCAGCTGCATTAAAATCACACTATAAATCTACCTGCTAACTACGCCGGGCCTGCTCTACAGTATATGAAAGGCCTTATTGGAAGTGGCCCTGAACATGGATTCTGATTCAGAGCAGAAGAACAGGGATTGACAACAGAAGCTCTGTGGGGACTAGAGAGGAGAGCTGGAGACCAGATGTCTGGTAGAGACAGCAGAGGAAGAGAAAGAGGTGAAGCTTTTATGGGCAAAGTTGTTGCCTTGTTATGTTGTCCCAAAGCTGTAAAACACCAGAAAGAATCATAGGGGCAAGTTTATCGGCATTCATTTTTCAAAAATATTTTAAGAATGTTTATTATAAAAATATAAATGTTTCCACTACAAATCATTTAACATTAGTAGACAAGGCCTTTCACATTTGCACAAGCACACACACACACACACACACACACACACACACACACATTTACACACACGCACACACACACACACGCTTGCATGCACACACATACACACACACACGTTAATCTAAAGAAAGTAAAACGAGCAGGGATGGGGTGGTTAACAGTATTGCTCTTCCAAATGTTCATGATTATAAAGAAAATAGAAAACATTGAGGACGCTGTCACAGAACCATGTTATAACCTACTGTATGCTACAAACAAAACATTACACTTTTGCACTGTATATGTTAACAAATAAATAATAGGTTATTATAATTGCTTTTTTTAATGTAAAAAACATTAAATACAAATAATGGTTGCCTTTTAAAAATGTTGCACAGATATTTTTGTTCATTCTTTTATACATAGAAACATTTGTACAAAGGGATGCTATGGAAGGGGACTGTACTGCTAGTAGCTATAGTTACATGGTTGTTTTACATATGTACATGCTAATAGAACACGCAACAGCAGCTAAGGGCAACAGGCGGGCAGGGGATGGACGGGGGTGCTATCACACACTGTTCAGACCAGAGAGAATCGTTGTCTGCTCCAGGGATGTAATACACTCACATACTCATTTTATCCAGAGAGTTGTGAGATTTCCACCGGTGTTGGAAGATGGCATTAGAAGAGCTCAGATAGTTTTATAGAGTATCTATCTACCTTACAGAGCAGAATATGCTCTGAAGTAGTCGGTTGCAAGGTATTCTCTCTCTACCTCTCTCTCTCTCTCTCTCTCTCTCTCTCTCTCTCTCTCTCTCTCTCTCTCTCTCTCTCCCTCTCTCTTCTCTACTTCTACCTCTCTCTCTCTCTGTCTCTGTCTCTCTCTACCTCCCTCTCTCTCTCTCTCTCCTCTCTCTCTCTCTCTCTCTCTCTCTCTCTCTCTCTCTCTCTCTCTCTCTGTCCTTTTCTCTCTATCCTGCTTTAGTTTGAATGAATAACACATACTGAGATTTCACACTAGGGCTAGGAACTAGGAAGCTTGGAGTGATGCATCATCACCTACAGTATAATAAGCAGACTTGTGGCAGTTAGTTACAGTTCTGTATGTGGTCTGATATGTCCTGTGAACCATCAGAGCAAACTGTGTAAGACTCATGGGTTCTGGTTGATCAAACCGATAACTGATTGTTGTGGTTATTGCTTTCTGTTTGACATCAACTGTTTTCAGACATTAGTCTATAGCTAGGGGATACATGGCTTATTGTAGTCTGGGTGCCCATCCAATGGTTTGGCTTCTTTCTCAAGCTGACTTTCTCTTGAGTAACACAAGCACACTCACGGACGCACAGAGCGGTATCAGTCCTTCTCTGTGAGAGAGAGCGGGGTCTTCAGTGGTGGGAGTCCAGCATTTCAGAGTTCATGAATGAATCTCCAGGTCTGCTTCTGTCTGCTCCAGGATGTTGTGAGTGGGTTGGTGCTGCTGCTGACTGCATTATTATACTCAAGGCATTTAATGTCCCCCTCTCCAGAGTTAAAGAGCTGTCAGTCAAATCCACAGGATCAGATCACGATTGGATCAGTTCTCAACGAGCCCCTTACCACTATAGGTCACACACAGGGCCCTGCTGTCCCACGTTATCCAATCCCAGCTCCAGCCCTTTATCGCCATGCCCCCAAGGTCCAAGGCCAGGTTCTCTCCCCTCCTCTCCTGTTCTCAGTAAGGCATTTCAGCATTGATGTGGCGCGTCGAACAGTTGTTGTGTCAGTCTGACTGCTTGCCCTGTGTTCAGTGTCAGGGCATGACAACATGGTGACATAATCAATCTCCAGGGCAGTCGCCCTCCGCTGCACCACTTTTCTAACGTCTACTTCCTCCTTTAGTTTGGAACTTCCTTCTTGTATGTTAGAGAGATCAGAGGGCTGTTCTAATCCAATGAGCCCCTCCTCTCCCCATCACTACCCCATGCAAGGGGAGGGCTCCCTTGTGGAAGGAACGTCACTGAAACGTTCACAGAGGTCTCACTGGAGTGGAGGGAGGAACTGAAGGGGAGAAGCTTTACATTAGAATGGAACGGGCCCACAGGGGCTTCATTCAGAATGGAACGGGGCAGAGGGGCTTCATTCAGATTGGAACGGGGCCCAGAGGGCAGCCAGTCAGCAAGTCAGCCAGTCAGCCAGACAGCCAGACAGCCAGACAGCCAGTCTGTAGTGGCTCAGTCGAGTTACACTGGGACAGGGGCGTTCTTACTGTGGCTCTCTAGTGCTTTGATGCTGCTCACAATGTTCTTCTGGGGTCCGACGATAGTCACACCAACCTTCTTTAGGTCCCTGTAGAAAGAGAGAGGAGGGGGAGAGAGAGAATGAGAATGAGAAATAAAGAGTTAGTGCTTTAGTGTGACACAGTGACATTAATGGCATGCCGTCAGTGATGCCCCTCCCCTCCCCCTTCCGCTGGCCTGTCAATCACAGAGGACCACATTTCCCAGAAGGCCGATGGGCTGCCAGAGCTCACTAGTCAGCTGATGGGAGAGTGGCCTTGAGCAGTTGTTGGTATATTGTCATGCTTAGTCTGAAGTGGTGTGTGTGTGTAGTGCGTGTGTGTGTGTGTTTGTGTGTGTGTGTGTGTGTGTGTGTGTCTTTGGAAGGGAGCAGCACTGGTACAAATAGGTGGATAATAAATGCATAATAAAACAAAATGGTTATGGCAAGCTTTGTCACAACGTAGGCACACAGCATGGGTTACACACATCATGTTATAAAGACACACACAACTTAAAAGAGTGTGTTATCTTTCATCTAGTGGACTGTATGTAGCAGCATGGTGATATTAGGTACAGCATGGTGATATTAGGTACAGCATGGTGATATTAGGTACAGCATGGTGATATTAGGTACAGCATGGTGATATTAGGTACAGCATGGTGATATTAGGTACAGCATGGTGATATTAGGTACAGCATGGTGATATTAGGTACAGCATGGTGATATTAGGGTACAGCATGGTGATATTAGGTACAGCATGGTGATATTAGGTACAGCATGGTGATATTAGGTACAGCATGGTGATATTAGGTACAGCATGGTGATATTAGGGTACAGCAGTGTGATATTAGGTACAGCATGGTGATATTAGGGTACAGCATGGTGATATTAGGTACAGCATGGTGATATTAGGTACAGCATGGTGATATTAGGTACAGCATGGTGATATTAGGTACAGCATGGTGATATTAGGTACAGCATGGTGATATTAGGTACAGCATGGTGATATTAGGTACAGCATGGTGATATTAGGTACAGCATGGTGATATTAGGTACAGCAGTGTGATATTAGGGTACAGCAGTGTGATATTAGGGTACAGCAGTGTGATATTAGGTACAGCAGTGTGATATTAGGGTACAGCAGTGGACAAGACATCTTCAGCTCTTCTCCTGTGGGTGACTGTTGTTATAGAAGCATATTAGTGAAGCAGATCTGAGTTAGAAACAGCACAGCTCAAACCCACTCAGTTAACATACTGTAGCTTTGGTTTCACATTGAGCTTCAGTTTTAGTGCAACAGGCTTCTCTGCTACTCTGTAGGATGCACATGAAACAATAAATGAAAAGTCCTTAGGAAAAGTTATTTGGATGCAAGCAGGGGGTTCTAGTTTGGAGGGCAGCCAGTCAGTGTACTGCGGTCCACCCACCATCCGTTGTCTCTGGAGTATGAAGGGAGGAGGAGGGGGGGTTAGAGGGTGGTGATCCCCATGGAAGGCTCCCACTCTGGGCAGGTGGCTGCTGTGACGTGGTGCTGGACCTCCGTCAGGCAGATTCTACAGTACACACATGCAGGACGCAGGGCCAGGGAATGTGAATATAAGTTCACACAGCCATACAGGCAACAGTCTCTCAAAAAGGTGTATGGGTACACAGCGTTAACACCATGAACAACATGTGACAAATCAAAACATAATAAACTGCATAAAACATGAATACATAAAGTATGACATTAAAAAAAAACAGTCTAGGCGGTGAATGACTCATACAATAAAATGGATAAAAACAAATGACCACGTTTTGTCCCTTCCATTTTGAAGTGTTTTAAAGTGTTTTAAAGCTCATCATCTATCAGGTTTAAGTAGACAAGGGCCCAAACTCCTGACCGCCATATTCCTCCTCTGACACATGACCAATGAGAACCTTAATGGATATGTTGGAAGTGTTTACAGTGAGCAGCTTCCTGCCAGTCAGACAGAAAGGACTGTCTCATCTAGAACTCTGAAGAGGCCCTTCACTGTGAGAGCATACAGAGACTTGATTCCTGCTGCTGTGTGTCACTAGAAGTGAGGCAGAGAGACAGTAAAGAAAATGGGAGAGGGGAGGAAGTCTGATGCCTCAGGCTGGACCACCCAGCCTCAGAACTACCAGAACCTCAATTTTAAACCAACATCTTTGTCAATTCATCAGTAGCTACACTCTTAGAAAAAAAGGTGCTATCTAGAACCTAAAAGGTTTTTTCGGCTGTCCGCATAGGATACCCTTTGAAGAACCCTTTCTGGTTCCAGGTAGAACCTTTTTGGTTCCAGGTAGAACCCTTTTGGGTTCGATGTAGAACCCTATCAACAGAGGGGGACAGCCGAAGAACCCTTTTGGAATCCTTTTTTCTAAGAGTGTATATAAGTATGCTGTGTCAATGGATTGAGGAGCGGTATGAGGGTTTGATTACTCTGGCAGACAAACAGAGGTCAGAGTCAGAGCGTGGGTGGGTAGTCTCCTGCTGAATATAAAGAACTGGATTAAGACACTACTAATCAATAGACTGATGTATCCTCCGGTCCGGGACTGGTCTGTCTGTGTGTCAGGGCTATACCCTCAGAGGATTAAAACACGCATATGATCCTATTCATGGTTTTATCCAGTTATGATCCAAAAGGGGTGGATCAGAAATGTCTTTATAATGATCCTGTTAGCAGAAACGATGTGTAGGCTGTACAGTTGATCTGTGATGTATTCCATCAATACTGTACATGGTTTTCTACTGAGTCTGCAAAGCAAGCCTTTTTGTGCCTCTGTAGTGATTGGTTAAAAGGATTCCTTAATTGATGACATTAATTCATTGATTAAATGTTCTGAGAAAAATGCAAAAAAGAGAGAGAAAGCACGAGAGAGAGAGAGCGAGAGAGAGAGAGAGCAATAGCGAAAGAGAGTTCATTGTTGGACAGATCAGGCTCTCTCTCAGGCAATTAAACTAGGCCATGGTGAGGAGGAAATTTCATACACTATTTGCATTTTATTATTTATATTGACATCAGAACAAAAGGCAATGTGGTAATTACTTCCTGGGCCTTTTGTTAGGCTTTGTAGTCACTGTCGAGTCCAGAGGGTTAGGGAGACAGAGGGTTAGGGAGACCTCCGCTTTGATCAGCCTGATTATAACTGTCACATTATTTACACTGTCAAATACCTCATCAATTAACACAACAGCAGGTCCCCAAAGGCCATATCCTCCGCTGAGAGAGAGGGAAGGAGGGAAAGAAATAAAGGAAAATGAGAGAGAAAGAAAGGGACAGAGAGAGAAAACCTCTAGCGGGCCAAATCACTGCATTTCCCATGAAGCCCATATGAGCAACATGGAGGAGCCGGTAGCCCAAATGGAGGTTTATTATTAGAGAGAGAGAGAGGTTGCTATGAGTTGGACGGGGGTGCATTGGGGTTGTGATCGTAGATTCTGCCAGATCCACTCTACTAAAGCTGTTCACAGGCTGTAGATCCTGTCAGAACTGGAGCTTAGAGAGTCTCTCTCTCGCTCTCTCTCACACTCTGTGTGTGTGTGTGTGTGTGTGTGTGTGTGTGTGTGTGTGTGTGTGTACCAGTGAGCGTGGCTAAAGCTCTGTCATTAAAGATTACAATCAAATCCTGCTATCCATGGTTAACAGATTAGACCCACAGCGGTGCCTCCAAGTAATGGGAGCAGATTGTAAACATGTTGGCGTCTCAGTGGGGGTGGGGTGTATTCAATCTGGGTTGCTGTGGCATGAGAGACTTTCTCAGGGAAAAGTCCTGTTTTAAGCCTGTTGCACTCAGACCCAAAAATGTCAAGGTATTCCCATATCTCGTCAAATATTAGATCATGCCCATATGCAAACCTAAATCATCTTATACAACAACTTACATTTTTTTTGCTGGTTGGACAAGCCAAAAAAACTGAAATTCAAATTGACCATTGCTTCCTCAGCAAGTCTTCAGTGAGTCCTGTAAGTGTGAATCTGAGTGTTACTACAGAGCGTCATAAGAAGCAGCCTTACTCTGCGGAGGTCTTGGGCAGGGTGTCACAGGAGCTGTAGCTGACCCCAGAGAAGGCCTCCTTAAAGGGCAGAGACCTCACGTTGTCCAGCCAATCCCCCATGGTTCCCAATGACTGAACCACCTCTGAACTACTCCTGTCCAGGAGCAGGTTAGCTGGCCTGGGAGAGGGGGGGAGAAGGGGAGAGAAAGGATATGGATGGTTAGCCGTTGGAACACTGGCCGTGCCTAAACTACTAGTGATGAGGGGGGTAACATGGGACACAATACAGTCCCCACAGAGAGCTGGTCAGCCTTGGAACAGAAATAATAACATCCCTACTTCGTCTCTCCCTCCTCTCAGCTGACAACTCTGTCTGCCTGCCCAGAGAATATGTTATTATTGAGAAAACAAGAGTATAAAATAACACGCTGCACAGAGCGAAAAACAAAAGGCTGTAAAGCACATTTCCCCATGCACACACACACACACACCAACACACACACCAACACGGGCACGCGCACGCACACAGCATGTACGAACGCACACAAATACACACACACACGCACCACAGGTCTCCCCATAAGGAAATACCTGTGGAGAGAAGGGACTACCCACAAACCCGTTCTGTTGCTGTGTGTTATGGACAAGCTCTCCCCAGTGAAAGGAAAGCCACACACAATGTAATGTTTACTTTATCATACAGACCAGTCTGATGATTTCCCAATATGACTGTTTGCACTGTTTCTAAGGAATTAAGTCAATATAGCTGTATGTATGTTGGATGGGCTTTAAGCAAAATGAAAATAAAACCATAAAGTGTAGATTCTATATTTACGTTTTAGATGTGACATCTCTTAACAATATGATTATATAACAAAACAAGCATAAATGTTCATATACTTACATTATTATTTTCTCTTAAAAATACTATAATTTTCAATACTGCAACCTTTATCAGATTAGAAACTAAATCAAATAATTAAATCAAATTAAAATTCATGCTGTTCCATTAACAATAATGTATAGGTTGAATAGCATGTCATGGCTGGAGGTACTGTTATGAAGAGATTTGAGTGACAGGAGAGGGAAGGAGAGAGGAGGAGAGAGGAGAGAAGGAGAGGAGGAGAGAGTGATGTACAGATGTACTATCTTAATTTGATTACTCTGTTGTCGCAGTGAATTGTTCTGCACTACAGAAAATGGAAATCGGTTAAAAAGGCTTCTAAAGTTTCTGTAATTTCCACTTTAAAATGCCAGACTTGATTTGCCATAGCGAAAAATGTATCAACCCCTACAAAAATGTCCATGAATGATAATCTACATAATAATTCACATTTCCTGTTGCTGCAGGATTATTTTCCTGCTGTGAGAAACTGGTCAAATTAAGATTGCAGATCTGTAGAAGAAGAGTCAGGCAGAGAGGACTGTCTGTGAGTCTGTCCTTAACCCTGACCATGTTTACAGACAGACAGACAGACAAACATCTGCTAAACCAACACCAGACCAGGAGACACTCCCCACATCTCCTGAGCCAACAACATTATGTTGTTTTGTATTGTATTTAGTGGACACCAGGCACGGCAGCTGTTGCTACAGTCATATCCGATCAACATCCAAATCAACAAGTCCACCTTCTCCCTATGAGGCAGGGTCAGGGCAGGTCAGACCAACTCAGGTCACATCAACAACAATCCTGACTCACACTCAACAATGATGGGTGTTGTGTCAGAGCCATTCAGAAAGGTTATGTGTGTGCGTGCGTGTGTATGTGCATGTGTGTGTCAAATCAGACAGTGAGTCAGAAAACAAACCATAGGACGACTGGGACCATAGCATCTGATCACACACACAGGCAAACACAGCCTAGGGAATACAAGCCAACACAGGACAGGAAACCAGCTTGGTATTCCCATAGAGACGTCTATTTACAGTAGTGTAAATAAACTAATCATAATAGCAGGAAGTCAAGTCCACCCTGAGGCTGAGTGTATTATATATAATGACACACATCTACATCACAGCAAGTGAATTTGTGTTGTGTGTCATGTGGGAGGTTTGTGTGTTGGCTCTGTGACGGTGTGTGAGAATGACGTATGCTACCGATGGGACAGGTAAGACTACTAGACGGTTCTGGAACATATTTTTGCCTAACTTAAGAAAGTAAACAAAGCAGTAAGACAGCCCATAGACAGTCTGTCTGGAACATAGTGACCCAACTAAGCAGCCAATCAGACGGACACCTCACCATGGGGACAGCAAAAGCTAGTTTGAGCTAGAACAAGAACAAGCAGAAGAGGATAGAGAAAGAAGTGGCAAAGGAAAGGGAAAGCTTAGAGACTGGTGTGTGATTGAATCTCTTCCTGATCATCAGAGGCCTGTCTGATAGCTGAGGGCCAACCGGGCAGAAGAGATAAGAGAGGAGAGAGGGATAGATGGAGGGAACGAGGCAAACAAAAACACACACAGCTCCCTGATTAAACCATCAGTCATGTATGAGGAGACTATTGATCTGTAAAGTTCTGTCCTCTCCCTTCAGAACAGTCATTGTGTCAGTGTAGAGGTAAACTATAGATGACCTTATCTTCCCTCTGTGTGATTCTGTTGGTTTGCTTTATTCTTTATTTTCAGCTGCGCTAGAGGAAGAGAACGACGGATGAGAGAGAAGGAGGGGGATGAAAAGAACATGCTAGTTGTCAGGGAGAGGAGTTGGTATCTTAAACCAATGTGTACGCATCATCTTACCAACGGCAGGATTTAGAAAATAGAAAGCAAAGATAAATTCCACCGTCCCTGTCTTCTTCTCCCTCCTCCTTTTTCTGTCCGTTTTCTCTCTGTCTGTTTTCCACTGATTTCTGAAAGACCACTGCTCTGTAGGAGCATGTTTTTAAGGCTCTCAGAGGAGCAGAGGGAGAGATGGAGAAAGGGAGAGAAGGATAAAAAGAGGAGGAGATAAGGATATGGGAACGAGGAGGCGGAGGAGAGGTTGACATCTGGGCATCTTGGTGGAGGACAGGAGAGGAGGAGAAGAGAGGAGAGGAATGCAACTCTCACTGTGAGGGGAACTGAAATGGCTCTGCTGGGCTTCTCCCAGTCTACTCCCCAGCCCTCCACCCCGCCATTCTTCCACCCCTCCATTCCTCTCTCCATCTGGCCATCTGTATCTCCCCTTTTCCCCACTTCGCTCATCCCTTTTTCCACACCTCCCTTTCCCCATCCCCCTTCACAAGGGGCCTCATTTATCCAAGGTGCGTACGCACACAAGACTCTAAACCTTGGGTGCGCCACTTTTCCTGCAAAGGTTGGTATTTATCCAATTTTAACTTGACGGGAAAGTGTGCGTATCTCCACACAAATCTCAGACCATGCTTACGCACAAATTCTAGTGGTTAAATAATTGTATTACAAGCATATATTGTTATTTTTGGGGAAACAGAGGCGTTTCACACAAGGGAATTATAATAATGATAAGCTAATAAAAACATAAAAACATGATGATAAAATAGATGCATTTGCCATTGGTAAGGAGATTCCATAGCAGCATGTAGCCTATGTTTCTTTGACTTGGGCCTAACTCATAATCATATTTTCTGACATGACTGGTTTATTCCCACTACACAACAAATATTAGGCTACCATTTATCGATTGCTCATTCAATAGCCAAGCATGGTCAAAAGTAAATAGACCGGCGGTAGCCTAGACCAGGGGTACTCAACTACTATTTGAGAAGGTCCGGTCACACACATTTCCTAGGTAGCATAGGTCTGGATAGATACATGCGACCCTAAACTGTTCACACCCCTCTTGTTGGCGGAAAGAAAATGTTGCAGTTTTTAAGCACATTTTCTGCAATTCTACACATTTTGCCATGAGCGGAGAGAACATTTTGTAGTTTTAAAGCTAATTTCCTGCAATTCTACACATTTTGTCATGAGCGGAGAGAACATTTTGTAGTTTTAAAGCTAATTTCCTGCAATTCTACACATTTTGCCATGTCTTATGTGTGTTCATATGATACCCAAGTGAGTCAACAAAATCAATGGGGCCCCCTGGGGGTCGAGGCTCCAATGGGCACATAATCTGGCCATGATAAAACTACAAGATTTAGATAGCTGCTTAGCCTAATTTACCTACCTAGTTAACATGGGCTAGTTGATCAACTGAATTTCTGACAGGTTATAAATAGCTTTCTAAGATTTGTTAGTGAATGACATAACAAGAGGAAAACTGTCCATGCACTACCAAATTTCGAAATTGCACCTTGTGTATTCTACTATTAACCGCAATAAATCGAAAGCCCAACTAGGTTCCTAAAAACCAACGGTCCATATTAACCCCGTTCAGGGACCGGATCCGGACTGCGGTCCGTCTGTTGAGTATGGCTGCCTAGCCAGTATGGGTAGGCCTAGGCTGCAGTATTGCTGTAAGACAGGAGCGTGACATCATACTGTAGCCTACCATATTTCATCTCAGAGCCTATACCAAGACAGGAGATAGAAACACAATCATGTATTGACAGACAAAATGAACAAAATGATGAACCAAGTCTTCTGCATAGAAGTGTGGGCTGTAGAATGTACTTTTAAATTGTTTGACTAGACAATCAATCATGCAGTGTGCGCGGCCAGTGTTTGGCACTCGCTATAGGCGGCATGCATTTTTTGTTTGAAAAAGTCACTGCAAAAGATGAAAACATTCTGCCCACACATCTACAGAAATGTGCAATTACAGTTTCTTGTAGAAATTGACATGGCCCAGTTCCAACATTTCCAAATTATACAGCAAATTAAGGCTTTTTGTTACCAGGGCGTTTTCCAGGCAAGGTTGTAGCGGTCGTTCACGAGCACAGAAATATAGAATGGCTCTGATTTATCAATGCAAAACATGTGTATATGTTGCGTGCGACAGTTCAATAAATCCCAATATTTTGTTGCGCACGCAAATCATAGAATCACCACGTACGCCAGAATTTTGTAAGAAATGTAAGCACGGTTGATAAATAAGGCCCCAGGCCACTCTCTATAGCCCTCTAAGCTCATACTCATCAAACCCAAATCCCAAACCCCCCTCTTCTCATATCTTCAGTCCTTTTCACTCCTCGGACACCCTGTATTCAAGCCCTCTCCTCACTCGCCTTTGGCCTGTTAAGGTACTCCTGCACTAAGATTCTCTCCCTTTCGCCCCATAGACTCAAACTCTCACCCCAGGTCCCCAGACAATGTACTCTAGCTACAGCTTTGATCTGGGCCTGTGGGGGATGGGATCTCCATTAGTCAGTGCAGCCCAGAGACATATTAGGTGTGTGAGGCCGAACACAGCTGCTCCTGCGGTATAGCGGCACGCACGCACACGCACACGCACACTCCCATAAATCACCTTGTCCTCCGTCTCTCCCCCTCCTGCTTCCACCCCTCTCACCCTGCGCTCAGCCCAGTGTTAAAAGCCAATCAGGAAAATTACATGCAAACTCCCAGGGACTCATTTTCACTTTCTTAACAAACCATTAGTCAACGTTATGAGCTCCGACGTCTCCATAATACCAGGAACGTCTGTTCCACCAACCCACCGCCTCCCTCCCTCCCCTGTTCCAGCTCTAGCCTCCCCTCCTCCCTGCCTCCTCCCTGCCTCCTCCCTGCCCGCCCAAGGCCACTCTACACAGGCTACAGCAATGCCTCAGTCCCACAGTGGTCAAAACAAAGGGAGGGAAAAAAGAAAAAACAGAGGAAAGAGTATTAGGGATATTGTACAGCATGTAAAAAGGAGAGAGTAAAAGAAAGGAGGAATATCAGGAGGTGTTGTTTAGTGAGAGAAAGAAGGAGATAATACACTGAGTGCTCTTTCCATGACAGACTGACCAGGTGAATCCAGGTGAACGCTATGATCCCTTATTGATGTCACTTGTTAAATCCACTTCAATCAGTGTAGATGAAGAGGAGGAGACATGTTAAAGAAGGATGTTTAAGCCTTGAGACAATTGAGACATGGATTGTGTATGTGTGCCATTCAGAGGGTGAATGGGCAAGACAAAATATTTTTAGTGCCTTTGAACAGGGTATGGTAGTAGGCGCCAGGCACACCGGTTTAAGTGTGTCAAGAACTGCAACGCTGCTGGGTTTTTCATGCTCAACAGTTTCCCATGTTTATCAAGAATGGTCCACCACCCAAAGGACATCCAGTCAACTTAACAACTGTGGGAAGCATTGTGGTCAACATGGGCCAGCATCCCTGTGGAACACTTTCGACACCTTGTAGAGTCCATACTCAGAGGCCTGACCACACAGGGTCAGTTAGAGTGAGATCCTAACATCCTGTGTACACGGGAAACAGGAAGTGTTTGTTTATGACAGCCTCTGTGTGGTCCATGTCACCACTAACTGGGTCTATATACAATCAGGTTTGGGCCCATAATGAGAACAATGTTAAGATAATACTGCTCTCCCCTATAGGGGTCTGTCCCATACTATATAAATGCTCTCCCCTATAGGGGTCTGTTCCATACTATATAAATGCTCTCCCCTATAGGGGTCTGTTCCATACTATATAGATGCTCTCCCCTATAGGGATCTGTCCCATACTATATAGATGCTCTCCCCTATAGGGATCTGTCCCATACTATATAAATGCTCTCCCCTATAGGGATCTGTCCCATACTATATAGATGCTCTCCCCTATAGGGGTCTGTTCCATACTATATAAATGCTCTCCCCTATAGGGGTCTGTCTCATACTATATAGATGCTCTCCCCTATAGGGATCTGTCCCATACTATATAAATGCTCTCCCCTGTAGGGCTCTGACCCATACTATATAAATGCTTTCCCCTATAGGGCTCTGACCCATACTATATAGATGCTCTCCCCTATAGGGGTCTGTCCTATACTATATAAATGCTCTCCCCTATAGGGGTCTGTCCCATACTATATAAATGATCTCCCCTATAGGGCTCTGACCCATACTATATAGATGTTCTCCCCTATAGGGATCTGTCCCATACTATATAACTTATCTCCCCTATAGGGGTCTGTTCCATAATACTGTACATACAACACTCCCATTAGGCCTATACACCACTATCTTGACCTAACACATTAACAGAGGTGGAGGAACACCTTCTATGAGGCCTCTATTACAATATGGGGTTGCTATCGTTTGTGATTCAAATGTGGTTTATATATTTTATAGATCCACCAAGGTCTTGCACCTTGGTTGTAAGGCGAGGTAGAGACAGTATCAGTAACATTGAAGGCCAGCAGAAGGGGAAGCGTGTGATAGAGAGAAAGAAACTAAAAGCGAGGAAGGGATAAACGAGTCCCAGGGTGGAGGACAGTGTTTCCTGTCGCTGCTGTCACTAATGAGCAGGATGTTCTGTGGGGAGTGGATATGTTCGATATGTCCATCCGTATTGAGCCAGGTGTGTGGGAGAGGGGTAATGAGTCAGGTGCAGTGATTAGGCGTTAAAGGGGGGAAAGAGCCATGTGCATGGGAGAGGAGCAGAGAGGTACAGCTGTGAGTTAGGGGGGCAGGTGCATGGGGGAGGAGCAGAGAGGTACAGCTGTGAGTTAGGGGGGCAGGTGCATGGGGGTTGAGTGGATGAGAAAGACGTCACATTGTCTAACACTAAAACAACTGAGTATGGCTAGCTGTTAAGTTTAGATCTGTATAGTAAAGATGGTGGATAAATGAAGATATCCCATAAAGGCTATTTACAAAAAATGGTCACAGTTCCGGTCTACTTACGGGGTGGCTCTCACATAGGCACCAATGCGATAGCAGCTGGGTCTGGTCTACTTAGTTCATTGACTGTATATGAATCAGAAAAAAGGAGCCTATGAAATGTCTGGCTTTCTTTTCCGTCACTATGTATAGTACCTGGATGATGTGTTGGCTGCCAGGGTTGGGTTAGGGTTCAGGGGTCAGAGGTCAGGGTTGAGAGCATGATGTGTAGATGTTTATAGTACCTGGGTGAGGTGTTGGCTGTGATCTTCAGGCTCCCAGGATTGCGTATGAGTTTATCCAGGATGCTGACGATCTGTTCGAACTTGGGTCTATTGTTCCTCTCCTTCTGCCAGCAGTCCAACATCAGCTGGTACAGAGTAGCAGGACAGTCCATAGGAGGAGGCAGTCTGTAGCCCTCATCTACTGCTTTGATAACCTGGAGGGAGGGACAGAGAGAAAGAGAGAGAAGAGGGGAGAGAGAGCGCGAGAGAGAGAGAGAGAGAGGGAGAGCGAGAGAGAGAGCGAGAGAGTGAGAGAGCGAGAGAGAGAGAGAGAGAGACAGAAAGAGCGAGAGAAAGAGCGAGAGAGAGAGAGAGAGAGAGAGGGGGAGAGAGAGGGAGGGAGAGAAAGAGAGAGAGAGAAAGAGAGAAGAGGGGGAGCGAGAGAGAGAGAGAGAAGAGGGGGGAGAGAGCGAGAGGGGGAGAGAGCGGAGGAGAGAGAGCGAGAGTGAGAGAGATAATTAGGTGTGCCGCAGGACAGTACATAGGAGGAGGCAGTACAGTGTGTCAGTGGGTGGTAGAGATGGAGGTGTTATTATAGTCCAGGGGAGTTGGAGAGCTGGTAGTGAGACAGTACTGTACTGGCAGAAGTGCTGACTGTGCAGCCGCTCATGATAGTAGCCCTCCCTCTGTCTCTCTCTGAGTGCTGTGCTCAGGTGACAATGCTGCATTTTTGTGTGGTGTGTGTGTGCGTACGCGCGTGTGTCAGCTCAGGTGCTAGAGCTGTATTTCTGGTCCAGGCCATCAGGCCTCAGGCTCAGTCCACCACCTGGCCACTCTACGCATCATTTCCTCTCTCAGCAGGAAGTTCATTAGATCTCCTTGGCGACAGCTGTGTACTCACGTCCTGATTGGACATCTCCCAGTAAGGTCGCTCCCCGTATGACATCACTTCCCAGAGCACGATGCCGTAGCTCCAGGCGTCGCTGGCCGAGGTAAACTTCCTGTAGGAGATGGCCTCTGGAGCTGTCCACCTGATAGGGATCTTACCTCCCTAGAAAGAGATAGAGAAGAAAGAAGATCTAGGACGAGCATCAGATTAATAGAACGAAGGGATAGACTCTCAGTCTCTCTCGCATCTCTCGCTCTCTCTCCCGCTCCCTCTCTCGCTCTCTCTCTCTCTTCTCGTCTCTCTCTCTCTCCCTTCTCCTACTCTTCGTACCTGCCTCTGGCTCCCTCTTCACTCTCTTGCCGCTTCTGTTCTCCTCTCTCGTCTCTGCTTTGCTCTCATGGATTACGAGAGGAAACGAAGATGGAGGAAGGGTCCTATCGTTCTAGATATCAAACTCCTGATTTGCCGACTTCATGATTTACTTTCGGTTATGTTTGACCTGAAAATGGATATAAAGAGAGAGGGAAAGAGAGATGGGAGAGGGAGAGGGGTCTAGGTTCTAGCCCCAGCCTCCAGAACTGCAGGGCCTTGTTCCATCCCCACTGTTTTCACCTGGTGGAGAGGGAAAAAGCATTAGAGGAATAGAGGTAGAGAGAGGGAAAGAGAGGTAGAGAGGGGGGCTGTAGGCTGACCCTGTGTTTCTCCTGCTCTGTGCCTACCCTCAGGGGGCTGCTAAACTTACTCAAGTCTTAGCCTGCGTCATGCCAATGGAGGAGAGGGAAAGAAAGGAGCGGAGAGAAGAAAAGAGGAGCCAACACTAACACACCTCCTGGCCAAGTCACACAACTCCTGGCCAGCTCTCTCTAAACACAGCCCTCAGAAAACAAACCACTTCTGCCCTCACAAATCAAATCATATCAAATGTTATTTGTCACATGCGCCAAAATACAACAGGCGTAGACTTTACCAATGAGACCTTCGCAACGATGCAGAGTTATAAAATATTAATAAAAAGAAAAATAGTAACACAAGAGAAATAAGGGCGGCAGGTAGCTTAGTGGTTAAGAGCGTTGTGCCAGTAACTGAAAGGTTGCTGGTTCTAATCCCCAAGCCGACTAGGTGAAAAATCTGTCGACGTGCCCTTGAGCAAGGCACTTAACCCTAATTGCTCCTGTAAGTCGCTCTGGATAAGAGCATCTGATAAATTACTTAAATATAAATGAATAAAATACACAAGAATGGAGCTATATACAGGGAGTACCAGTACCAGATCAATGTGCAGGGGTATGAGGTATTTGAGGTAGATATGTCCATGAATGCAGGGTAAAGTGACTAGGCATTAGGATAGATAATAATTAGGGATGGATCAACATTTACATAATGGTTACCTGGAGAAAAAATGGGGGAGGGTCAGGCTTTTTCAATTTCAATCAAGGGGAGGATTTAGTATTATTTTTAATCTAGTCCAGGGGAGGGTCATGTAATTTGTATTTAGAACGTTTCAATATTTCTCAGTGTTTTAGAATTAGTTGCTTATTAGGCTATAGATTGAGTGTACAAAACATTACGAACACCTTCCTAATATTTAGTTGCTCCCCCTTTTGCCCTTAGAACAGCCTCAATTCGTCGGGGCACGGACTACAAGGTGTCGAAAGTGTTCCACAGGGATGCTGGCCCATGTTGACTCTAATACTTCCCACAGTTGTGCCGAGTTGGCTGGATGCCCTTTGGGTGGTGAACCATTCTTGAAACACACGGGAAACTGTTGAGCATGAAAAACCCAGCAGCATTGCAGTTCTTGACACACTCAAACCAGTGCGCCTGGCACCTACTCCCATACCCTGTTCAAAGGCACTTAAACATTTTGAATGGCACACACACAATCCATGTCTCAACTGTCTTTTTAAATTTAATTTAATTTAACCAGGTAAGCCAGTTGAGAACAAGTTCTCATTTACAACTGTGACCTGGCCAAGATAAAGCAAAGCAGTGCGATAAAAACAACAACAACACTTTTAAGTCTTAAGGCTTAAAAATCCTTCTTTAACCTGTCTCCTCCCCTTCATCTACACTGATTGAAGTGGATTTAACAGGTGACATCAATAAGGGATCATAGCTTTCACCTAGATTCACCTGGTCAGCCTATGTCATGGAAAGAGCATGAATATCAATTGCGCCTATAAGTGTGGTCTCAATCAAATGATCCAAAGCCTATAGGCTACGAAGTGTATGCTCAGAGAACCACAGATCAAAGTTATATTTCTAAGATAGCTGCTGGGATGATGTAGATAAAACTAGGGTGCATTACACACTGCTCTGCTCTTACTGATCAAAAAAGTTTTTGTATGCTGCCTATCCAATGGCTATGCTGTGTAGGGCTACGGTGGCAGTTCAGGAGAAGACACAAAGATGATTTTTGACTAGGCCTAGTCCCAAAAATTCACTATCTTGCACACAGACTTGTCTATAGCCTATGTTCTGTTCAGTTTGAGAAGGAGAGCGCGAAGATGAGGAGGAGGACCGGAGGTCAACTTTGATAGCCTGCTACAACTACAGTGAGGGAAAAAAGTATTTGATCCCCTGCTGATTTTGTACGTTTGCCCACTGACAAAGACATGATCAGTCTATAATTGTATTGGTAGGTTTATTTGAACAGTGAGAGACAGAATAACAAACAAAAAATCCAGAAAAACGCATTTGTCAAAAATGTTATAAATTGATTTGCATTTTAATGAAGGAAATAAGTATGTGACCCCTCTGCAAAACATGACTTAGTACTTGGTGGCAAAATCCTTGTTGGCAATCACAGAGGTCAGACGTTTCTTGTAGTTGGCCACCAGGTTTGCACACATCTCAGGAGGGATTTTGTCCCACTCCTATTTGCAGATCTTCTCCAAGTCATTAAGGTTTCGAGGCTGACGTTTGGCAACTCGAACCTTCAGCTCCCTCCACAGATTTTCTATGGGATTAAGGTCTGGAGACTGGCTAGGCCACTCCAGGACCTTAATGTGCTTCTTCTTGAGCCACTCCTTTGTTGCCTTGGCCGTGTGTTTTGGGTCATTGTCATGCTGGAATATCCATCCACGACCCATTTTCAATGCCCTGGCTGAGGGAAGGAGGTTCTCACCCAAGATTTGACGGTACATGGCCCCGTCCATCGTTCCTTTGATGCTGTGAAGTTGTCCTGTCCCCTTAGCAGAAAAACACCCCCAAAGCATAATGTTTCCACCTCCATGTTTGACGGTGGGGATGGTGTTCTTGGGGTCATAGGCAGCATTCCTCCTCCTCCAAACACGGCGAGTTGAGTTGATGCCAAAGAGCTCGATTTTGGTCTCATCTGACCACAACACTTTCACCCAGTTCTCCTCTGAATCATTCAGATGTTCATTGGTAAACTTCAGACGGCCCTGTATATGTGCTTTCTTGAGCAGGGGGACCTTGCGGGCGCTGCAGGATTTCAGTCCTTCACGGCGTAGTGTGTTACCAATTGTTTTCTTGGTGACTATGGTCCCAGCTGCCTTGAGATCATTGACAAGATCCTCCCGTGTAGTTCTGTGCTGATTCCTCACCGTTCTCATGATCATTGCAACTCCACGAGGTGAGATCTTGCATGGAGCCCCAGGCCGAGGGAGATTGACAGTTCTTTTGTGTTTCTTCCATTTGCGAATAATCGCACCAACTGTTGTCACCTTCTCACCAAGCTGCTAGGTGAATGTCTTGTAGCCCATTTCAGCCTTGTGTAGGTCTACAATCTTGTCCCTGACATCCTTGGAGAGCTCTTTGGTCTTGGCCATGGTGGAGAGTTTGGAATCTGATTGATTGATTGCTTCTGTGGACAGGTGTCTTTTATACAGGTAACAAGCGGAGATTAGGAGCACTCCCTTTAAGAGTGTGCTCCTAATCTCAGCTCATTACCTGTATAAAAGACACCTGGGAGCCAGAAATCTTTCTGATTGAGAGGGGGTCAAATACTTATTTCCCTCATTAAAATGCAAATCAATTTATAACATTTTTGACATGCGTTTTTCTGGCTTTTTTAGTTGTTATTCTGTCTCTCACTGTTCAAATAAACCTACTATTAAGATTATAGACTGATCATTTCTTTGTCAGTGGGCAAACGTACAAAATCAGCAGGGGATCAAATACTTTTTTCCCTCACTGTATAATTGAATTTATAAAAACAATATGTTTCTTGCCCATGATGTATTTATCAGAGTTATTGACCTCACAATAAGCCAGATTCTAGTAACTTACATTGTGGTGCTGAAACTTGAAGTAGCAGCCGCGGCACAATCAATCGAAAATGACAGGTCATGGTGCTGAAAGTAGGCAAATTCGAGTAGGCATAATTCATTTCAATCGTCTTCATTTTCATTAGACTTTACTAACATCAAGAGGGCTTTGTGTTGTAGCCATTTCTTCCTATTTAAGAAATAATAGATTGGACTACCTGTTCGACAGACAAAATGAAGCTATAGGCTGCTATATCCATAGATTTGTTGGTCAATTCCTCCACCCACCATGCACTCTCTATATAGCCTATCTCCGTGTCAGTGAAGGGTTGTTAAGTTAAACCAAAACCTACATTTATTAAAGAAAATGGCAAAAAGCACAGGCCTACCCCTTGTTAGTTTAGAGTTCGAAGAAAATAAAACAGATCCGATTATATAAAGTGATTTATAACAGCACTTTGATCTGCGATGCTTTATGCTAGAAACATGCTGTAAAATACTTGGGAAAGACGTGACTCCGCTGCATATGGGGATATCATTGTTCCGTTTCTTTGATATTCAGAGGCTGACTTTGCTTGGGAAGTACTCTAATTCTGTCACTATCAATTGATTAAGCTATTCACTTTCTGTACAATAGAAGATGTACAAACCTTGACAGCTTTTAGGGAAAGACTTTCTCTCATTGGGTTAAGCCATGGAAGAAGAGTAGCAAGCAGTTAAAGCTTAACGTTTTCTGTGTCGGTAGGCCTACTCTGTCTGGGGTGGAAAGGTAGGTCCAACTTTTGAAAGTACCATGCTCAGATTCCTCATAACGTCTCAGATTTAATTATTTGCAAACAGGGACAGTTTCGTTGCAAACAAGACTCACTGATTTTGCATTGGAGAAATATGATAAGATGAACACACTGTCCATTCTTAGCCTTATTTGTGAAAGGACGTAGAATTGCATGAAATGTTTGTAAAAGGCTATTTTTCTCAGACCTGCAAATACGATGATAGATTAATGCAATTACTATAAAGGAGATCTCTCCACCCCTACTCTTGTCCACGCTGGTCTGCGAACCCACAACCTTCTGGCTGTCACGCCCTGGCTCTGGGGACTCTTATATGTTGAGCCAGGGTGTTAGTTTATATGTGTAGTGTCTATGTTTTGTTTTCTATGTGTTCTTTTCTAGATCGTGTGTTTCTGTGTTGGCCAGGGTGGTTCCCAATCGGAGGCAGCTGTGTCTTGTTGTCTCTGATTGGGAACCATACTTAGGCAGCCTGTTGTGCACTTGTCATTTGTGGGATCTTGTTCCGTGTAGGTTTGTGTTTGTTAACCGAGGACTTCACGTTTCGTTTTGTTGTTTTGTTGTATCGTGTATTAAGTACTATTAAAAGTATGTACGCATATCACGCTGCGCCTTGGTCCACTTATTACGACGAACGTGACACTGGCCTTCAGCCCTGTGCACAATCAAAAATCCTGCGTTGCCATGTAACGCTTACAAGATGAAGAACAGTTTCTAAAACTGCATATCTAAGGCTCTGGTCTGTCCAAGAAGTGGGGGTAAATGGTAGACACGTTCTTTGCTATCCACTTTGTTTCAATTATTATTTTGGGTATAGGCGAGGGTGACTAGTTTTTTTTCAAGCGTTCAGGGAGGGTTTAGGTAAAATATATGTTGCTGAAGGAAGGGCCATCCATTTTCATTTCAGAGGTCAGATTTTCTCCACGTAACCATTATTATAAATAACGTTCCCTCCCTAAGAGTAAAATAAAGAACAGAGTAGCAGTAGCATATGATGAGTGTAAAAGTGTGTGTGTTTGTGTGTGCATTGTGTCGGTATGCGTGTGTGTATTATGTTTGTGTGGGCGTATGTGAATGTGTGTGGGTTTTGTGTGTCAGTGTAGTGTGTGTGTGAGTAAGTGTGGTGTGCGTATACACTGAGTGTACAAACCATTAAGAACACCTTCCTAATATTGAGTTGCACCCCCTTTTGCCCTCAGAACAGCCACAATTCGTCGGGGCATGGACTCTACAAGGTGTCGAAAGCTTTCCACAGGGATGCTGGCCCATGTTGACTCCAATGCATCCCACAGTTGTTTCAAGTTGTCTGAAATGTCCTTTGGGTGGTGGACCATTCTTGATACACACGTCAAACTGTTGAGCGTGAAAAACCTAGCAGCGTTGCAGTTCTTGACACAAACCTGTGTGCCTGGCACCTACAACCACACCCCCTTCAAATATTTTGTCTTGCCCTTTCACCCTCTGAATGGCACACACCCACAATCCATGTCTCAATTGTCTCAAGGCTTAAAAATCCTTCTTTAACCTGTCTCCTCTCCTTCATCTACACTGATGAAGTGGATTTAACAAGTGACATCAATAAGGGATCATAGCTTTCAACTGGATTCACCTGGCCAGTCCATGCCATGGAAAGAGCAGGTGTTCATAATGTTTTGTGCACTCAGTGTATAGTCTTGTGAGTGTGGATAGAGTCAGTGCAAGATAGGGTCAGTGCAGATAGCCTGTGTAACCATTAAATTGACTATTTAGCAGTCTTATGGCTATTTAGAGCCTGTTGGTCCGAGAGCAGATGCTCCGGTACCGTTTGCCGGACGGTAGCAGAGTGAACAGTCTATGACTTGGATGGCTGGATTCTTTGGCTGTTTTTCGGGCCTTCCTCTGACACCGCCTGGTCCTGGATGGCAGGGAGTTCGGCCCCAGTGATGTCACACATGCACGCAGGAGCACACACACACACACCACACACAGATGTGCACACACACACGCACACACACAGATGTGCACACACACGCGCACACACACACACAAACACACACAAATAAATACATCCATTGTGAGTTTATATAAACCCAGCCAGCCTCAGGAGAACAAGGACTATACCTCTAATGATGGTACAGTATGACACCACTGAGACACAGACAGGGCTGACAGAACAGCAGAGTGGTCTGACAGAAGAGGGAGGGAGAGGCAACGGCCTACTGGGTCTGATACATTCATAACTGTAGAATGGATGGGAACTCAGCTCTATTACTAGTGACACACTAGGGGAAGTCTATCAGCATATTTTAGGTCATGAGTTTGTGGGAGTGAAGTCTCTGTGAGTGTTTATTTAACATGGGGGTCTGAAGCAGAGCCCTGCATACTAATGTCAGGCCACAAGGTGACCACACACACACACACACACAATGTTATGGGGATAGGTTGGATACAAAGCCCTCTTGATTTTGCTTATCTACTATGTTTGTCATTCCTTTCCCATAATCCTTCAGGAGAACACAAACATTTATGTTGCCGTTATCTCGCCCTGATTTTATTTATGTACTGGCTGTCCCGTTCCGCACTGCTGAGAGGCCAGACGTTTGTGTGTCGGTGTGTGTGTCTGTGCATGTGTATGTGACATATGAGGTGATTTGTCTCATGGACAGCATGTATTCACAGAGAGTGCTGGCGAGGGGGAGATAGAGCGACAGAAAGGGAGTGAGCGATACACAGCAAATTTGCGGGTGTTAAAATCTTGGTGTTGAGGTAAAAAGTGTTACAGCTGAGTGCTGATTCTAGTGGGGTTAACGCCAGTGGGATTTGAAATTGACGCCACCTGGCGAAGTGTTAACAAGGTGGTGGTGTTGCTACTCAACTGTTTTGAATTAATTTTCGTTAACTCTCTCAGAGTGAAAAAGACATGTCATTATCATATTTCCCAGCATGCTTTGTTGGAGATTGCTTTTTAGAATAGTTTGTTTTAATATCTATGTTTCTGCATGAACATTGATTGATTAATTGATCTTATACTGCACAAAGATAAATAACATACATTTTTCTAAACTAATCCAATCTGTAAGTGGTTAGACTTATTTCACTCGTTATTGAGATGGTTGTTCCAGTTTAGAAGGTTTAGGTAGTCTCATTTATCAATCTTCCCTACCTTAGCAGTCATTCTAACTGTAGATTGCGAGTGATTAAAAGTTCAAATTGTTGGATGTCCTAACTCTGGCTGGATTCCAATAGGAATTATATAACACTTTGAAAGCCAGCATAATATGACTTGCCGATGTGATGTGGCCTGCAAACCAGAAGTTTCAGACCACTGTGTTAGGGTAAAACTAGGCTGTCGAAGTATGGTATTGTCAAACTTTTTTATGTATTGTCATAAATAATAGATGTTTTATGACAAAATATTCAATAAGGCACTCACTTGGTGTTAGTTTAACACTCTTTTGGTGGGTCACACTAAGTAAGTGTTAGATTTAGCACTGTGGATGTTAAAACATTCTGATCTCTAATTTGTTGTGTGGAGAGATGCCCTTCTGTGTACACCTGAGACAGAGGTTGGTCAGCTCAGCTATGTCTGACCGTGATAACCATTATCTCTGTCCACAGCAACCTGTCCACTCACTATTAGACACCAGAGTTATGGACAGAGGGGGTTCTTACAGTACATGGCAGACTCTCACCCCACACAGCAAATTTGAGATCAGAATTTTAACACCCACAGTGTTAAACCTAACACTTTCTTAGAAATTATATGTGACCCACCAAAATAGTGTTAAACTAACACTTTTCAAAGTGTTCACAAACTAACACCCATAGAGTGTTGGTCCTTAACACCATGGGTGTTGCAAATTCCAACTTAAATTAACACTTTATTAGAGTTGATGCTGTTACACTTTTTTTGTGTTAGGGAATAACAACTGTAGCATTACATTATACATTATTATATATTTGTTTTGGGGGGGTGTTGTTTTAACATTGGAGGTTGTAAATCCTTATTTGCATATTTCCCAGGATTCCTTTCATGTGAATGTGAGAGATACCCACCCATTACTGTATTTGCTAGTGACAGAGACATGGTTGTTGCATTCCATAACTTCTAGTCCTGAAGCCTACACCAAGTGACTGCCTAAGTGTGTTTGAAAAGTAAACCCTTCATGACCACATATTAGACATTTCATAAGGCCTTTACTTATAGCCTAGTTATCCTCAACATTGTGGTCTGAAAATCTTGGCTCATGGGCCACATCAGACCTGCAAGTCACAATAAGATGGTTTGTGAAGTTGGATATCCAACACTTGGAATATTTTATCACCCACAACCTGCATTCAGAATGACTGCTATGGTGAAGGACTAGACAAACAAGACTACCTAAACCATCTAAACTGGAACAACCATCTCAGTAACGGGTGCAATAAATCCAAACCCTTACACATTGGACTAGTTTAGAATTGTTTTAGTTATTTATCTTTGCATAGTATAAGATCAACTAATCAATCAATGTGCATGCAGAAACATAGATATTAAAACAAACTATTCTAAAAATCTACCTGCAACAAAGCATGAGGCCCCTCCCACGTCTTTTTCATTTAGAGAGTTAACGTAAATGAACTCAACACACTCGAGTAACAACACCAGTGTTGATTCCACTGTGATTCAAATAACACTTCATTTATTTACCGCATGTAGAATCAACACTCAGATATAACACTCACTTTTTACCTTAACACCAATATTTTAACACTTGCAAATTTGCTGTGGATATTATCCTGTCTCTGTCACAAACAACTATTAAACCCATCTGTTCTCATTGATAAATCCAACAAACATGTCTTACCCGTGTGGTGTAAGCAGCCTCGGGGTCATCCTCCAGGACTCTGGACAGGCCGAAGTCAGACACCTTACACACCAGGTTGCTGTTGACCAGAATGTTGCGGGCGGCCAGGTCTCTGTGGACGTAGCCCATGTCAGACAGGTACTTCATGCCCGACGCAATGCCACGCAGCATGCCCACCAACTGGATACCAGTAAACTGGGCATCGTGTTTCTTTAAGGAGCAGGCAGAGGAGGAAGAGGGTTGAAGAGAGAAGGGGAAGAGAGAGAGAGAGAGAGAGAGAGAGAGAGAGAGAGAGCGAAACAGATATAGAATCAGTCACAAGTGGAATGTCATACCTCTAAAACAGATGAGACTGGATTGAAAAACAGAATGAATATGACATTTACATTTTAGCAGACGCTCTTATCCAGAGCGACTTACAGTTAGTGCATACATTATTTTTTATTTTTTCATACCCCCTGTGGGAATCGAACCCACAACCCTGGCGTTGCAAACGCCATGCTCTACCAACTGAGCTACATCCCTGCCGGCCATTCCCTCCCCTACCCTGGACGACGCTGGGCCAATTGCGCGCCGCCCCATGGGTCTCCCGGTCACGGCCGGCTACGACAGAGCCTGGATTCGAACCAGGATCTCTAGTGGCACAGCTAGCACTGCAATGCAGTGCCTTTGACCACTGCGCCACTCGAAATACAGCGGAACATTCATATATTAATATTCAAACCAATTACATTAACCTTTCAAATCACCTCTGACATTAACTTGGTCATTTCAAAGTGAATTGTACAATCCTAATTTCCACAACCAAATAGGCCTGACAATACCATGCCAGAGTCTTTGACTAAATAGATGGTGTTTTCCAGGGCACTATATAAAGCCCAGACCACCTGGTAGAGACAGGCTGAGTCGGATCAAAGCTGCTACAGTCATATAGTCATAACACAAACATGAGGTACAGTAATGTGGTGCGGAGGAGAGGGATGACTGTGTGTGTGTGTGTGTGTGTCTGTATGTGTGTGTATGTGTGGTATGACAGTTCCCTGTGATAAAAGCCAGGCCACTCTACGACCAGAGGAAATAGCTGGACAAGGTTGCAGCTACTCCCTTTTCTATCAGAAGGGATGCTGTGCAGACACACAGGCACACCGTTTTTGGAAGAAAGGCTTCTTTGATGATTATTTGGAAGCCAAGAAGGAGTCTTTGGAAGACAAGAAGGGTTCTCCATAGAACCATATATCATATTTCCCAGCATGCTCTATTGCAGAGAGATTTTAAGAATTGTTTGTTTTACTGTAATATCTGTGTTTTTGCATTGATTGGTTGATAAATGTTATGCAACACAAAGATAAATAACATAGAGTTTTCTAAACTAATCGAATCTGTTGGATTTATGAATCTGTTGGATTTATAGCACCTGTTACTGAGATGGTTGTTCCAGTTTAAAAAATGTAGGTAGTCTCAGTATTCAATCTTCCCTACCCTGGCAGGCATTCTGAATGCAGGTTGCAGGTGATTAACAATTCCACTTGTTGTATATCCTAACTCTGGCAGGATTCCAATAGGAATAAAACATAACTTTGCAAAGCAGCATAATGTGACTTGCAGGCCTGATGTGGCCTGTAAACCAGGATATTCCTAACACCACTGTGTTAGGGCATAACTAGGCCCTCAAAGAAAGGCCTTATGATATATGCATTGTCATAAATAATACTATTTTAAAGGCTAGTAAGGCTGTTGGAACCGTTCAGAGGGTTCTAGGAATAACCCTCCAAAGATAAAATGGTTCTCGGTAGAACCCTTCATAGACGGTTCTAGGAAGAACCTTTAGATTATAAAATGGTTTTTGGTAGAACCCGTCATAGAGGGTGCTAGGCAGGACCCTTCATCGAGGGTTCTAGGTAGAATCATATACAGGGTGTTCTTTGAAGAACCTTACATAGCGGGTTATAGATATAACCCTCTGCAAAGGGTTCTACTTAGCACCAAAAAGGGTTCCCCTATGGGGACAAACCGAAGAACACTGTATGGTTCTACTTAGCACCTTTTTTTCTAAGAGTGTACTGTTGTATGGCGTGTAAAGATAAGTCTAGTTTAGCTGAGTAATGTTTTAAACTCACTCTCAGAAAGCTGTCCAAGGATCCATTCTCCATGTATTCAGTTACTATCATCACAGGTTTACCTGAAGAGAGGAGAGAAACTGCGAGGTTAGAGAATTATTCATATATGGCAAAACACATTCACACACACGCACACACATAAACATTGGGTTCAGCAGTGCTTCCTCTAGCAGGATGAAAGGGCCCATGCAGGGCTGAGTGTACAGGTCCTCTGGGTCACCTGTCAGAGTGGGACATCTTTATTCCAGCAGCAGCAGAAACAGTTACTATAAATCTGGAGTGTTATCATCTGGTCCTAATTCACTAGACCAGAGGAGAGGAGAGGAGAGGAGAGGAGATCAGTGGAGAGGAGGTTTAGAACAGATAGAAACGAGGGGGGAAATGACTTCAAGTCAGCCGTAGTCAAATGAACAGCACTGGTGTCACGACAGGTTTGTGTCACAGATGGTTACGGATTCCCCCCTCTTCACCCTCCCTCCCTCGCTCTCCCACATCCTCCCCATCCCTCTTTCCACCTCCCTCCATCCCCCCTCTCCGTCACGCATGTTGTAAATGTATCAAAGTGAAACTCCACATCTGGCAATGCAGAACTCATTTACAGATCTGTCAGAGGAAGGGGATGATGGAACCTGCTGTAAAAAGAAACACATTTATAACCCTCTTTGGAAAAATAAACGTCAATTAATAAAACTGGCTGCCTCACAAACTGCTTGCGTTTAAATGGTGAGCTAAAACAAGACTAGGTTGGTCAGAGCAGTGGTTCAACCTTACCACAACCAGCACATTTCATTTTCTGCTGCTTGAGTACCAGCAACATTTATAGAATATAATCTCATGAACTACAAACCCTGGAACTGTAAAATTAAAGTGAGTGAGGACACCTTTTTCATTCCATCTCATGAACTAGGTCTAGATTTTACAGTGTAGTGATAAGGGCTGACTGACAGTCCAACCTGTTACTCATCTAGATAATAACAGCACTTTCCCTTCACATAAGGTCTGCTGGCCCAAACACAGTCATAGACATAATTAAACACCCCCCCCCCCCCTCTCTCTATAAGACCCTGAGGGATTGGCCCAACACCCCCCTCTATAAGACCCTGATGGATTTTCCCATTCACTTCACAGGACAGCCTTTATAGTTTCAGATAAAACAGACTCAAAAAAAAAAAGCCTCGGGAGAAGAGAAGGCCGCGAACGTAGAAGATAAGAGAGGAGAAGAAGAGAAGAGAGAGAAGAGACTAATCTCCTCTCGCTCTCCTCATCCTCTAATTCTCTCCTCTATATTCTCCTCTCCTCTCCTCTCCTCTCCTCTCCTCTCCTCTCCTCTCCTCTGTGGTGTGTGTGTGTGTTTGTGTGTGTGTGTGTGTGTGTGTGTAGCCCTTAGCGATGCAGCCAAAAGCAGCAGCAGGGTTAATGAGGTGTGACAGTCTCTGGATTATTAAGAATTAACAGGACTGGGTTAATAAATCACCCTACGCCACAGACAGGACCGTGTGTGTGTGTGTATATGTGTGTGTCTGTTCTCACATGCCAACCAAACCCCTAAGAGCCAGCTCTCAATCATAGAGTACCCCTCCAACACACAGACACACACACACTACTATGTTCTCCCCTCATTCTGTCCTAAAAACAGAAACAAACTGCAGTCATTTGCAATTAGCCCTGGCATTATTCACCTTCAGGGCTTTAATAGTCAGAGTGCTGTAAGATTTATGAGACAAATAAAATCCCTATATGATGAGGCCATTTTGCATTCCTGTCCAGATTCTATTTACAGCCAGATGAATGGGAAACATACTGTATCTGAGTGGGTTTTCACTGACTTCGCTAAGTAATTGGTCCTGTCATAATGCTGAGAGACAGTCTTCACAAGCCACTGTGGCTTTATCTAACTGTCAACTAGAATACACAGGATTTCCTTTTGTAGCTTTTAAGTCTGTTTTCCAGAAGAAATCTTAGCTTCCATGGCAAAAAAAAGAAAAGATAAGCAGCGACCATATCATATATAATCCTTATGGATATTCAGAACTTCAATAGAACTTCTTCAAGGCAACCAAGTTAATTTTAGATATCGTATAACTACATTCAACTATATTATGATTCAGAACTCCATGGCTGGGCTACAACTGGACATGAAACATCATTAAAACAGATCTGTTCTGGCCTGCTGGTCAAGTTGACCTAAACTGGCTAACCTCTGTAAAGTTTTACTATGAGTTTAACAAGACTGCCTGTGGAATGATCAGTTCATCTGTTGTAGAGCAATCAGAGCGAGATATTTTACAGGTTTAACTGTTCAGTATAACGACATGGCCAGAACTGCAGTATAATGGTAATATGTGTGTGTGTGTGTGTGTGTGTGTGTGTGTGTGTGTGTGTGGTGAAGACCGGCTCTGATTGTGGACCAGAGGTCAAAGCAATTATTTCACAGTTTTTTTAGTCATTTCCTTTAAGGGAACTATGTGTTGGTGTGTAAGACTAGCTATGTTAAGGAGCCTCGGGAGGGAGGCTAAGATTTAAACATATAGGGACTGTTTGATCAGATTACATTGATCTGGTGAGATTCAAGCCATTAGAACTCAATAAAAATTGCTTCTCTTGTGAAGGTGTTGGCCAGCTTCATAGCATTGTTCAGTGTACAACTAACGACACATTCTGTCCAAGGTTCTCTATGGGCAGAATTCTTGAGGCTCCCTCTGGCCAGGCATAGCCTACTTCATACATACATAAATGTCACGCCAAGATTTAGTGAGTGATGCATTGTTATATATATATATATATTTTTTTTTTTGTCATTTAGCAGACACTCTTATCCAGAGTGACTTACAGGAGCAATTAGGGTTAAGTGCCTTGCTCAAGGGCACATCGACAGATTTTTCACCTAGTCGGCTCAGGGATTAGAACCAGCGACCTCTCGGTTACTGGCACAACGCTCTTAACCACTAAGCTACCTGCCGCCCTCTCATTTTGATTGTATAGTAAGATATGGTCTGTACTTACTCCTGGTCACCACTCCCTCCAGCCTGATGATGTTTGGATGGTCAAACTGTCCCATAATGGACGCTTCGGACAGGAAATCTCGCCTCTGTTTGTCGGTGTATCCTGCCTTCAGAGTCTTGATGGCCACACAGTTCTCCTTCTTACTGGGCAGACGCAGACGACCGCTGCACACCTCCCCAAACTCACCTATAAAACCACAAACATACACACACTGCACTGATACCAAGGACCTGAGGCTACGAGCTATTATTGATGACTTTTCATCAGAATAACTGTTATGATTTATTTCAGTTGGATCAAACCAGTCAGAAATTCTTACCTAATTTAATAAACACACATGATAGGCCAATATAAGCAGGTGCAGTCATATGTCCTTCTTGAAATCCGTCTCCCTCACTGAGATAAAGACTAATTGAACCTTGACTTCATTGGCCACAGTCTATAAATGCCCTCTCTACTTTCCATATCATATAAAGAACTATGAGACGTTATCAGAGCTGACCAATCATCATTCCAGCATGGTGATAACATACAGTATGATCAAGCTGTAGTATCCCTCTGAGGTACAGAGCCTCTCTGGTGAATAGTTTCCCTAGGCAGGACTTTGTGGTAAAGAGACCACTTCAAAGTCAGAAGGGGAGGTCAAGCATCGCTCTGATACGGCTGGTGACAGGGACTTGGCCAAAGAGGAGAGGGTATGTGTGTGTAGGACAGTGATGTCACAGCTAAGACATGTGGACCCGGTCCATGCCCTCTCTCCTGTATGATCATTTCCCATAGCAGAGTTGGATCAGAGACACAGGGTCGGTACGGAGTCAGAGACACACACACGCAAGTACTGCCCTGAGATTGGGTCTGGAAGGACTTAGAATAATTACAGGCTGTCTAAAGAGAGCAGCACGCTGCTTGCTGGGCTGTGGTTGGAGCTAGGCAGAGCTGGGCTGTAGTTGGAGCTAGGCTGAGCTGGGCTGTGGTTGGAGCTAGGCTGAGCTGGGCTGTGGTTGGAGCTAGGCTGAGCTGGGCTGTGGTTGAAGCTAGGCTGAGCTGGGCTGTGGTTGAAGCTAGGCTGAGCTGGGCTGTAGTTGGAGCTAGGCTGAGCTAGGCTGTGGTTGAAGCTAGGCTGAGCTAGGATGTGGTTGAAGCTAGGCTGAGCTAGGCTGTGGTTGAAGCTAGGCTGTGGTTGGAGCTAGGCTGAGCTGGGCTGTGGTTGGAGCTGGGCTGTGGTTGAAGCTAGGCTGAGCTGGCCTGTGGTTGAAGCTAGGCTGAGTTAGGCTGTGGTTGAAGCTAGGCTGTGGTTGGAGCTAGGCTGAGCTGGGCTGTGGTTGGAGCTGGGCTGTGGTTGGAGCTAGGCTGAGCTGGGCTGTGGTTGGAGCTGGGCTGTGGTTGAAGCTAGGCTGAACTGGGCTGTGTTTGGAGCTAGGCTGAGCTGGGCTGTGGTTGGAGCTAGGCAGAGCTGGGCTGTGGTTGAAGCTAGGCTGAGCTGGGCTGTGGTTGAAGCTAGGCTGAGCTAGGCTGTGGTTGAAGCTAGGCTGTGGTTGGAGCTAGGCTGAGCTGGGCTGTGGTTGGTGCTGGGCTGTGGTTGGAGCTAGGCTGAGCTGGGCTGTGGTTGGAGCTAGGCTGTGGTTGGAGCTAGGCTGAGCTGGGCTGTGGTTGGCCAGTGGACAGGTTGGGAGATGACCAGCATCAGGGTCAGTATTACCCCACCCTCCATCCTCCATCCACTCCTCTGATGAGCAAGGAAGAGCTGTGATTAATGACACAAACTCTCACTCTGCTTTCTTAGACTTTGATGTGTGCAGGTCATCTGTAAGATGGTGCAGCTGCCTTGTGTTTTAGCGTGTCTCTCTATGTGCTCTCCCACTGCCTGCTATTCCCATGAATCACAATGCATTAAGTTCATGTCTACACTCCTGCTGAAGACATCTGGGAGAGAGGGAAGAGGAGAGAGGTGGAGAAAGGGTGAAAAAGAAAGGAGAGGAGAGAGGTTTAGAGGAGAAAGGAGAGAGAGGAGAGAGGGAGATGTGGGGAATGTAAAATAATATCCCATCTGGAGGTGCGATAACGTTACCCATACTCCTCTGCTCCAGCAGCACGCACTCTATTAAAAGCAGTGAGGCAGCAAGGATTTCTCACTCCATCCCTCTATCCATCCCTCCTTTTACTTCTTCCATCTCCCTCTCTACATTCCCATTTCTCAATCCATCCATCCATCCCTCCATCCCTCTCACTTCCTCCACTCCCCATCTCTCAATCCATCCCTATATCCATACTACCCTTCTCTCCCTTCTCTCCCGCCCATCCCTCATTCTTCCTCTCTTCTTATCTTCCTCCCTCCATTCCCTGCCTCGCCCTCTCTCCATTGCAGGAGAGGAGTAAAACACAGGAATCTCCAGCTGAAGTGTTAAATGAATCTCATTCTCACTGCTACATTTAGAACAAACAACCTTAATATCAAATAGCTTCTATTTGTGCCTCTGAATACCAATGAGTGGGAGTGTATGTGACATATCTTTGGGATCCCTATGAATGCTACTGTGGGAAACTTTGTTCAAGATGTCTTAGGTAACCGTAAATGAATGATATGTGTTATTGAAGTGTGTGTGTGCCTGCATGCATATGTGTGTGTGTGTGTGTGTGTGCGCGTGTGTGCATGCATGTGTGTGGGTGTGTGTCATGTCTCTGGTCTCACCTGCTCCCACCACCTTGTCGATGGCGATACAGGAAGCATCCAGCTCCTTGGCAAACTCATGGACGGCCTGACTGGGGTCTTCATAGGTGTGAGGGTCTACATAGGTTCTTATACCTGGCAGACGCACTGGGGGGGGGGGGGGGGGGGGGGGGGGGGGGGGGGGGGGGGGTGTTAGTAACAGTCTCTTTGAGAGAACCAGAAAGGGTGTGTGCTAGTAGACAGTGTGTTAGGAATAGGCAGCGGAGATCTTTGGGTGGGTCACAAAACACACTACATCATGTGTCATGCATGGATGACCGGCCAATCAATCCATCATGTGTAAGAACAACACTAGGTTAGTTTATGAGTGTGGCCAGCCCCCAAGGAAAACATGTTGCTCTTCAAATAAACCCCAATCAGGAGATGGATTATACTGTACACAAACACACTGACCCTGTACCTAACTAATGCTGAGGAATGACTCAACATATTTTAGAAGAACAATAGACAGACAAGCACACAGACAGACAGGCATGCAGACAGACAGACAGGCAGGCATGCAGACAGACAGACAGACAGACAGACAGACGGACAGACGGACAGACGGACAGACGGACAGAGGGGTGGATGAGGTACTTACAGTGTCCATTGCCAAAGTGCAGTCTCTTCTCGTCAGGGTGTTTAGACCTTCTGTAGCCACAGAACCTGTCAGTCACAATGATAGAGGTTAATGTCACACCTTTACCCATCAGTCTTCACTTTCCCTCACCCTACATCAGAGGGCATAGTAAGCGATGTGTGTGCATGTGTGTGCGTGTGTGTGTATGCGTGCATGCATGTGTGTGCTTGTGTCAGGCTTTCAGATAGCCAGTAATAGCCTGTTTTTGGCTTACCGGTGTAGGGGTTAATTTGCATCATTTAGTGGAATTAAATTGCCGCATGTGTAGCCTATATTAGTTACGTATCTTATTTATCACACGTCCACAGCATACAGATACAGAGCCTTTGAGCGGAAAATCTGTCAGACATCGCTTTTATAAGCCCAATCATTGTGCAACAATTCTAAATGTAATTGTGCGTTAAAAATAGTTTTTAGCCCCAATTAAAAAGAGATACTATTTTTATTTCTCAACTGGTAATTGAAGCGGGCTTCCCATTTGCCATTCAAATTCATAGGCAACTGAAAGTAGGCTTCATCAGCGCGTCACACCCACTTTGCAATGAGCTGGAGGCAGTATCCATTTTGAAAACATATAGCTACTTAATTGTTTGAAACCTGAACGTTTTACTACATATTATGAGGCATGTTTTACCTTGCTTCAAAGTAACCTAGGCAAAATCCGACCATATCCGTGGAGGCAATTATTTATTACAGACTTCCATATGCCATTGAAACCAGTAGCCTATTTCTCTCATGTTCTATTGGTTTTCAACTTTCTTTCATTGTCCGGTAGCCAAATGCACATTCACGCGTAGCCTACAGCTTTGTGTGCATTTCTGCGCTAATAATGTTAAGAAATAATAGTTCATCAACATTTTAAGCTAAACGTTCTGATCTGTTGCATCAGACTCATTGCTTTGTTAAGTTTTTTGATGTAGGCCTACTAGTTGTATGGATCTATCGTCCCACCACTATCCCAGTGTCTGTTTGGGCTATTTCTTTCTCGACAAGCTGACCAATAGAATAGGTAAACTTTACTACAATGGGGGATAGTAGATTGACATAGGCTCATAGGTGGCGCATCTGTCACATTCGTTGTATAAAGGATTGGACCAAGGTGCAGCATGGTATGCAAACATGTTTAATTGATTAAATAAACACTAGACAAAATAACAAAAGCAACTGAACGTGAAGTTCTAAAGGCTAACAGCAACAAGCCGAAACAGAAACAGAAACAAGATCCCACCACATAGGTAGGCAAAATGGCTGCCTAAGTATGATCCCCAGTCAGAGACAACGATCGACAGCTGCCTCTGATTGGGAACCACACCCGGCCAACATAGAAATAGATAAACTAGATATGTCAACATTCACACCCTGACCAAACTAACTAGAGAATAACAGGGTTCTCAAGGTCAGGGCATGACAGTACCCCCCCCCCCCCCCTAAGGTGCGGACTCCGGCCGCAAAAACCTGACTCAATAGGGGAGGGTCCGGGTGGGCATCTAGCCTCGGTGGCGGCTCTGGCTTCGGACGCAGTACACTCCTCTCTTTTCCTGCCTCCCCGTAGCACACCTGGTCCGGCACGATGCTTCCTCTCTCAGTCCTCCCACAATGCACCAAGTCCTGTCTGGACCCTGGTGTAGGAGACCCCGACCCTGGAGAGGGGTTGACGTCTGGCTCCGGCTTGGACCCCGGTGGAGCGGATGGCTCCGGCATGGGGGAAGAGTAGACGACCGGACCCGGACTGGGCACCGGTGAAGTGGCCTGCCCCGGCTCTGGTAGGGAGCAGATAACCGGAGCTGGACCACTGGTCTGGTGCGAGGAGCAGGCACGGGCCGTACCGGGCTGGGGACACGCACCACTGGTTTGGTGCGAGGAGCAGGTACGGGCCGTACAGGACTGGAGACACGCACCACTGGTTTGGTGCGAGGAGCAGGTACGGGGTGTACCGGGCTGGCGACATGCACCACTGGTTTAGTGCGAGGAGCAGGTACGGGCCGTACAGGACTGGAGACACGCACCACTGGTTTGGTGCGAGGAGCAGGTACGGGGCGTACCGGGCTGGCGACACGCACCACTGGTTTGGTGCGAGGAGCAGGTACAGGGCGCACCGGGCTGGAGACATGTACCACTGGTTTGGTGCGAGGAGCAGGAACGGGCCGTACCGGACTGGAGACACGCACCACTGGTTTGGTGCGAGGAGCAAGCACAACCCGTCCTGGCTGAACGCTCATTTTAGCTCGGCAAGAGCGGGGCGCGGGCACCGGGCTGTGAATACGCACTGGAGATACAGTGCATATCACAGCATAACAGGGTGCCGGTATGGTCCCACGCTCCTTAAAGGTGAGTGCGGGGAGTTGGCTTTACTCTGAAACCTGGCTCCGCCAGCCTCTGATCTAAGGACAACGTTCTCTTTTGCTCTAGGGTTAACTCCTCTCTCAGCTCCTCCTGTTGCCTAGCCAGCTCCTCTCTCCGAGCATCCACTGACTCCTTCTCCCTGTGGGCCTCCTGCAGCACTTCCCTCTGAAAGGAGAGCTCCTGCTCCCTCTTATCTACCAGCCCCCGTAAAGTAGTTATCTCCTCTCTCAGAGTGCTGAGCTGCATGTCTTGGAGGGCCTCTATAATAGCGGCCTCCTCTTCCTCCTTCTGCTCTGTGTGCCCCCAAAACATTTTTTGTTGGGGCTGCCTCTAGTGCTTCCTTCACGGTCGGCACCGTCGGAGTCGCCGTTGATCCTCTCCTGCCTGGGCTTCTTCCTTCGCCCAGGGTCCTTTACCGGCTAATATCTCCTCCCATGTCCAAAATGTCTTCCCCACCTGTGTCCAGGGTGTCTGCTCCTCCTGGCCTCGCTGCTTGGTCCGTTGGTGGTGGGATCTTCTGTCACGTTCATTGTATAAAGGATTGGACCAAAATGGCTGCCTAAGTATGATCCCCAATCAGAGACAACGATCGACAGCTGCCTCTGATTGGGAACCACACCCGGCCAACATAGAAATAGATAAACTAGATATGTCAACATTCACACCCTGACCAAACTAACTAGAGAATAACAGGGTTCTCAAGGTCAGGGCGTGACAGTGTCCATAGGCTAGGTGAAGCTAAGCTTTCCCTAAGTAAATTGAATTAATTGCCTAAATTATATAGCCTAATTAGCCTACTCTTGTCTATACAGAAATAAATGAAATCATTCCAAACAGGCTACTAAAGCATGATTTGGCCACAGAGGGGGAAAAAAAGTTGCAAGCATTGCCTACAGTCGGAAGAAAAGGCAGCCCGCGCAATTTCGGCAGTGTGCCTGGAAAATACCAAATATATGATTGTTGAGTTGCGACTGTCAGTGAAAAGTAGAAGCCCAGCCAGGCATATCGCAATATTTCAAAATTAAAAACGCAGGAAAACATACTTGGAAAACAAATGGCTATTGCTGTAAAGAGAAGACAATGAAAATACTCTAATCTGTCTTTTAGCTATCACAATTCTCAACTTAATTGAGCGAACAACAGTAGGCCTACCGATTATTGGCACCTGCGGAGAGCATCGGCCATATCCCTGGTGAGTGGGCACTGCTCAGATTCACTCTTTATCATTGTTGGATCAGTGCCACTTAAAAGTTCCTCCAGTTTAGAGGGACATCATATTCCATTTGTGTCTCCCCTTCTCGTAGGCCTATTATACTGTATGAACAACATCGTTTTTATTCATCTGTCAGTGTCAGCAGAGTACAAGATGCATGGAATGCTTTATTACAAAGGTGCATTTTTATGGTGGAAATTTGCTTCCCCAAACTTGAAACTCACACACCAACTGTCGTGATTTTGCTGTTTGTTACTCGTCTTGTTGGCTGAGGAAAAATTCATGTGGACAGTTCTAACATCTTGAAAGTGTGCGGTAAGAAGGACACATGTCATTGTATCCTGGACTTGCATGTTTTGTTAAGATTAATTACCATAACCTAAATGTGATTTCTGTCATTCTGAGCACCGTGGGTAGACGCCCTAATCAGGTTACCCACCCAATGCATATGGGTCCGGTAAATTTCTCAAATGTCCAGTAAATGAAAATGCTGCCGGTGAAATGTCTGCCGACACATTTTCATAACGGAAACCCTGGCGTGCGTGTGTGTGTGCGTGTGTGTGTGTGTGCAGAGGAAAGCAGCAGCAGTCAGTCCTGGTGTACCATGGTGTGTTTCTCTTTGCTCTGAGCCCGAACAGGATCTGTAGGACTAGTAATGAGCCTGAGAGTTCTACTCTCACTGCAGTACTAACTGCCAACATTAACCCTGGGCCAGTAACCGAAAGGTCGGTGGTTTGAATCCCCGAGGCGACTAGGTGAAAAATATGTCGATGTGCCCTTGAGCCAGGCACTTAACCCTAATTTCTCCTGTAAGTCGCTCTGGATAAGATTGTCTGCTAAATGACTACAATGTCAATGTAAAGACAGACACACAGTGTCCCTTTACACTACATACACAAAAGAGTAGGATAAAAAGCATTGCATCCTCTGCCAAGCCATTCCAGGAGCATACTGTATAGGGATATGATATATTCTTACTACAGTATCCTCAGACAGTACAGTATATCTCTGCATTTAGAGGCGGACCTCCATGAAGACAGAGCCATGTAATTGGAGCTGACGGAGTTGTCAGTGTGCTTTGTGCAGTGCAATTGGTGTACAGACCTGCCAATCACAATGTAGAGGAGGACAGTGAGCAGGATGATGGCTGCAGCAGAGGAGATGGCTATCAACACCACCTGACTACTCTCACTGGAGATAGAGAATGCTGGGAGGGAACGGAGAAAGAGGGAGAGAGAGGGAGAAAGAGGGAGAGAGAGGGAGAAGAGAACAGGAGCAGGAGAGAGAGAGAAATGTTAGCATGTACAGGCACAGGTCAATGATAAAAATCGAACTATTGAATCACTGCCATCCATCACTTGGTGTTGAATTACATACAAAATACTGTATTTGGTGGGATCAGAAAAGTACATACAGTCAGGGCTGGTCTCAAACTCAAAACTCCTGCTGCTGGCTCCATATCCTGCTGCAGTCCTGGCCCTGATCTGGAGCAGGTAGGAGGTGTCTGCCTTCAGACCGCTTAACGTCACGTTACAACCCTTAGAGCGCAGGATGGTGTAGCTGGTCTCCTGCTCCTGCTACAGGAGGGGGAGGGAGAGAGAGAGAGAAAGAGAAGGAGAGGTTACTATCAGTCCATTCAGTCCAGTGAGGAATGTATACAGGCATCTGTCCACTGAGACTGTTGACACATCAGGTCACCAATCAGGGTGGGGTCAGTACCAGGGAAAGGAAATGTGTGTTTGCAATCAGGTGTACCCTATAGAGCAAAGGGGGCCACTGTCACACACACACCAACTCCAAACCCAGCATGATTCATTAAAACCTCTATATTTGATGGCCTCTATACAGATCTTATCACCACCCTGATCCCTTCACCAGCCTAACAGAACTACGCTGAACAAAAATATAAACGCAACATGCAACAATTTCAAAGATTTTGCTGTGTTACAGTTTATATAAGGAAATCAGTCAATTGAAATAAATAAATTAGACTATAATCTATGGATTTCACATGACTGGGAATACAGATATGCATATGTTGGTCACAGATACCTTAAAAAAAATGTAGGTGCATGGATCAGAAAACCAGCCAGCATCTGGTGCGACAAACATTTGCCTCATGCAGCTCGACACACCTCCTTAGCATAAAGTTGATCAGCCTGTTGATTGTGGCTGTGGAACGTTGTCCCACTCCTCTTCAATGGCTGTGCGAAGTTGCTGGATATTGGTGGGGGTCTGGGGAGCATGCAGGCCATGGAAGAATTGGGACATTTTCAGCTTCCAGTAGTTGTGTACAGATCCTTGCGACATGGGGCCATGCATTATCATGCTGAAACATGAGGTGATGGCGACGGATGAATGGCACGACAATCGGCCTCAGGATCTCGTCACGTTATCTCTGTACATTCAACTTGCCATCGATAAAATGCAATTGTGTTCGTTGTCCGTAGCTTGTGCCTGCCCATACCATAACCCCACCACCACCATGGGGCACTCTGTTCACAACGTTGACATCAGCAAACCGCTCACCCACACGACACCATACACGCTGTCTGACATCTGCCCGGTACAGTTGAAAACCGGGATTCATCCATGAAGAGCACACACTTCTCCAACGTGCCAGTGGCCATCGAAGGTGAGCATTTGCCCACTGAAGTCGGTCACGATGTCAAACCGTAGTCAGGTCAAGACCCTGGTGAGGATGACGAGCACGCAGATGAGCTTCCCTGAGATGGTTTCTAATCAGCTTCTTGATATACCACATCTCCCAGGTGGATGGATTATCTTGACAAAGGAGAAATGCTCACTAACAGGAATGTAAACACATTTGTGCACAAAACTTGAGAGAAATAAGCTTTTTGTGCATATGGAACATTTCTGAAACATGGGATGAACAATTTATATGTTCGGTTTATATTTTTGTTCAGTGTAGATTTACTGGCCAGGGCTACTTCTAGACCATTGTTTCCAGATGCAGGGGACTGTACAGGAGGGAGAGAGGAGAGATCAATACAAATGTATAGCGTTCCCTGAGAGTCAGAGCCCTGAAGCTTATGTTTGCTGTCGTACTGTCCCTGTTCTCACTGAGCCAGAGAGAGAGAGAGGAGATGCATGCCAGTGGAGAAGGGATCATACTGTTAAGGGAGTGACCGAGAGCAAGACAGAGACATTTGGCTCCTACTTTTCACTATAAAGCTGCAATATGTAACTTTTTGGGCGACCCGACCAAATTCACATAGAAATACGTGTTATAGATATGTCATTCTCGTCGGATGCAAGTCTAAGAAGTGGTAGATCTGTTCTGTGCTTCCCATTCTTAAGTTTCGTTTTAGCATCTTTTACTTCCGTTTTTGTACACCAGCTTCAAACAGCTGAAAATACTATATTTTTGGTTATGGAAAATATATTTCACAGCGGTTTTGATAGTACAATGATTCTCTACACTATACTTTCTTGTTTTGTTACAAACTGAAATTCAGTGGTGGAAAAAGTACCCAATTGTCATACTTGAGTAAACATAAAGATACCTTAATAGAAAATGACTCAAGTAAAAATGAAATTCACCCAGTAAAATACTACTTGAGAAAAAGTCTAAAAGTATTTGGTTTTAAATATACTTAAGTATCAAAAGTAACTGTAATTGCTAAAATATACTTAAGTATCAAAAGTAAAAGTATAAATCGTTTCAAATTCCTTATATTAAGCAAATACAGTGGGGGAAAAAAGTATTTAGTCAGCCACCAATTGTGCAAGTTCTCCCGCTTAAAAAGATGAGAGAGGCTTGTAATTTTCATCATAGGTACACGTCAACTATGACAGACAAATTGAGAAAACAAATTCCAGAAAATCACATTGTAGGATTTTTTATGAATTTATTTGCAAATTATGGTGGAAAATAAGTATTTGGTCACCTACAAATAAGCAAGATTTCTGGCTCTCACAGACCTGTAACTTCTTCTTTAAGAGGCTCCTCTGTCCTCCACTCGTTACCTGTATTAATGGCACCTGTTTGAACTTGTTATCAGTATAAAAGACACCTGTCCACAACCTCAAACAGTCACACTCCAAACTCCACTATGGCCAAGACCAAAGAGCTGTCAAAGGACACCAGAAACAAAATTGTAGACCTGCACCAGGCTGGGAAGACTGAATCTGCAATAGGTAAGCAGCTTGGTTTGAAGAAATCAACTGTGGGAGCAATTATTAGGAAATGGAAGACATACAATGGTGAGCAAAAATCCCAGAACCACACGGGGGGACCTAGTGAATGACCTGCAGAGAACTGGGACCAAAGTAACAAAGCCTACCATCAGTAACACACTATGCCGCCAGGGACTCAAATCCTGCAGTGCCAGACTTGTCCCCCTGCTTAAGCCAGTACATGTCCAGGCCCGTCTGAAGTTTGCTAGAGTGCATTTGGATGATCCAGAAGAGGATTGGGAGAATGTCATATGGTCAGATGAAACCAAAACAGAACTTTTTGGTAAAAACTCAACTCGTCGTGTTTGGAGGACAAAGAATGCTGAGTTGCATCCAAAGAACACCATACCTACTGTGAAGCATGGGGGTGGAAACATCATGCTTTGGGGCTGTTTTTCTGCAAAGGGACTAGGACGAGTGATCCGTGTAAAGGAAAGAATGAATGGGGCCATGTATCGTGAGATTTTGAGTGAAAACCTCCTTCCATCAGCAAGGGCATTGAAGATGAAACGTGGCTGGGTCTATCAGCATGACAATGATCCCAAACACACCGCCCGCGCAACGAAGGAGTGGCTTCGTAAGAAGCATTTCAAGGTCCTGGAGTGGCCTAGCCAGTCTACAGATCTCAACCCCATAGAAAATCTTTGGAGGGAGTTGAAAGTCCGTGTTGCCCAGCGACAGCCCCAAAACATCACTGCTCTAGAGGAGATCTGCATGGAGGAATTGGCCAAAATACCAGCAACAGTGTGTGAAAACCTTGTGAAGACTTACAGAAAACGTTTGACCTGTGTCATTGCCAACAAAGGGTATATAACAAAGTATTGAGAAACTTTTGTTATTGACCAAATACTTATTTTCCACCATAATTTGCAAATAAATTCATTAAAAATCCTACAATGTGATTTTCTGGATTTCTTTTCTCAATTTGTCTGTCATAGTTGACGTGTACCTATGATGAAAATTACAGGCCTCTCTCATCTTTTTAAGTGTGAGAACTTGCACAATTGGTGGCTGACTAAATACTTTTTTTCCCCACTGTATATATATATATATATATATACACACTACCAGTCAAATGTTTTAGAACACCTACTCAATCAATGTTTTTTTTTTAATTTTTTACACTGTAGAATAATAGTGACGACATCAAAACTATGAAAAAACACATACACAATCAAATAGTAACAAAAAAAGTGTTAAACATATCAAAATATATTTTATATTTAAGATTCTTCAAATAGCCACCCTTTGCCTTGATGACAGCTTTGCACACTCTTGGCATTCTCTCAACCAGCTTCATGAGGTAGACACCTGGAATGCATTTCAATTATCAAGTGTGCCTTCTTAAAAGTTAATTTGTGGAATTTCTTTCCTTCTTAATGCGTTTGAGACAATCAGTTGTGTTGTGACAAGGTAGGGGTGGTATACAGAAGATAGCCCTATTTGGTAAAAGACCAAGTCCATATTATGGCAAGAACAGCTCAAAAAAGCAAAGAGAAATGACCGTCAGTCATTACTTTAAGACATGAAGGTCAGTCAATACTGAACATTTCAGGAACTTTGAAAGTTTCTTCAAGTGCAGTCGCAAAAACCATCAAGCGTTATGATGAAACTGGCTCTCATGAGGACCGCCACAGGAATGAAAGACCCAGAGTTACCTCTGCTGCAGAGGATAAGTTCATTAGTGTTACCAGCCTCAGAAATTGCAGCCCAAATAAATTCTTCACAGAGTACAAGTAACAGATACATCTCAACATCAACTATTCAGAGGAGACTGTGTGAATCAGGCCTTCATGGTCGAATTGCTGCAAATAAACCACCACTAAAGGACACCAATATGAAGAAGAGACTTGCTTGGGACAAGAAACAATAACAATGGACATTAGACCGGTGGAAATGTGTCCTTTGGTCTGGAGTCCAAATTTGAGATTTTTGGTTTCAACCGCCGTGTCTTTGTGAGACGCGGTGTGGGTGAATGGATGATCTCTGCATGTGTATTTCCCTCCGTAAAGTATGGAGGAGGAGGTGTTATGGTGTGGGGGTGCTTTGCTGGTGACACTGTCTGTGATTTATTTAGAATTCAAGGCGCACTTAACCAGTATGGCTACCACAGCATTCTGCAGTGATACGCCATCCCATCTGGTTTGGGCTTAGTGGGACTATCATTTGTTTTTCAACAGGACAATGACCCAACCCCCCTCCAGGCTGTGGAAGGGCTATTTTACCAAGAAGGAGAGTGATGGAGTGCTGCATCAGATGACCTGGCCTCCACAATCCCACGACCTCAACCAAATTGAGATGGTTTGGGATGAGACGGACCGCAGAGTGAAAGAAAAGCAGCCAACAAGTGCTCAGCATATGTGGGAACTCCTTCAAG